CTCGTCCTCCTCCTCCTCCTGCTCCTCCTCCTCCTCCTCCTCCTCCTCCTCCTCCTCCTCCTCCTCCTCCTCCTCCTCGTCCTCGTCCTCCTCCTCCCCTCCTCCTCCTCCTCCTCCTCCTCGTCCTCCTCCTCCTCCAACTCCTCCTCCTACCTCCTCCTCCTCCCTTCCTCCTCCTCCTCCTCCTCCGCCTCCTCCTACTCCTCCTCCTCCTCCCCTCCTCCCTCCTCCTCCTCCTCTTCGCCTCCTCCTCTTCTCCTACCTCCTCTTTTTCCTCCTCCTCGTTTTTCCTCCTCCTCATACCTCCTCCTCCTCCTCCTCCTCCTCCTCCTTCTCCTCCTCCTGCTCTCCTCCTCCTCCTCCTCGTCCTCCGTCCTCCTCCTCCTCCTCTCTTTTCTCCTCCTCCTCCTCCTCCTCCTCCTCCTCCTCCTTTTCCTCCTCCTCCTCCTACTCCTCCTCCTCCTCCTCCTCCTCCTCCTCCTCCTCCTCCTCCTCCTCCTCTTCCTCCTTTCGCTACTCCTCCTGCTCCTACTCCTCCTCTTTGTTCCTCCTCCTCTTTTCCTCCTCCTCCCTCCTCCTCCTTCCTCCTCCTCCTCCTCCTCCTCCTCCTTCTCTTACAGTTCCTCTTCCTCCTTTCCTCCTCCGTCCTTCCTCCTCTCCTCCTCCTCGTTTTCCCTCCTCCTCCTCCTCCTCCTCCTCCCCCCTCAATCCTCGTCTGTCCTCGTCCTCCTCCTCCTCCTCCTCCTCCTCCTCCTCCTCTCCTCCTCCTCCTCCTCCTCCTCCTCCTCCTCCTCCTCCTCCTCCCCCTCCCTTCCTCCGCCTCCTCCTCCTCCTCTTTTTTCCTCCTCCTCCCTCCTCCTCCTCCTCCTCCTCCTCGTCTCGTCCTCCTCCTCCTGCTCCCTCTCCTCCTCCTCCCCTCTTACCTCCTCCTCCTCCTCTCCTCCTCCTCCTCCTCGTCCTCCTCCTCCTCCTCCTCCTCCTCCTCCTCCGCATCCTCGTCCTCGTCTCCTCCTCCTACCTCCTCCTCCTCCTCCTCCTCCTCCTCCTCTTGTTCCTCCTCCTCGTCTTTTTTAACCTCCTCCTGCTCCTTTTCTTCCTCCTCGTCCTCCTCCTCCTCCTCTTCCTCCTCCTCTTTTTCCTCCTCATCCTCTTTTTCCTTATCCTCCTCCTCCTTTTTTTCCTCCTCTTTTTCCTTATCCCTCCTCCTCCTCCTCCTCCTCCTCCTCCTCCTCCTCCTCCTCCTCCTCCTCCTCCTCCTCCGCTTCCTCCTCATCATCATCATCCTTCTCCTCCTCCCGCTCCCGCACCTTCACCAAAATGGGTGTGAGGGTTCCCTCTCAATTTCCCCAAGGAGAAGAAATCATGACCTTACCCTAAAGCACTGCATACACCACGGCGAGGCTGCGCCACAGCCTGAGAGGGAGGACCGCATGGTGGCCATCGCATTGCCGAGTTCACGAGCCCGTGCGTAGAATGTAGAATTCAAAAACACGCTGTGAGACGACGAGGAGGCAAGGCAGACAGAAGGAGACAAATAAGGGGGAGAACAGAGGAGGTAACCAACAAGACAGGGGCGCGCAGCTCGTGCCTGCGAACGCCACCCTAAACATCGCTTGAGACGCCCCACAAAATTATCCCACGCAAGCGCGTGACGAGGAGTCCGCGCGTGCGTACACCGAGCAGGCGTTGCCGGGGGCACTCGCACCATGGACCTTCCCATTTAGGATCAAGCCAGCCAAGAAACACAGCAGAGCGGAAGGAGAGGGGTGTTGGATCCCCAGACATGGCCGCGTCATACAAAAAAATAGCCTGGCGAAGAACCCAGCCATATGCAGCTGTCAATACCGCAGCTGCGGGTTTCATCTTCAATGGAACTCCCCGTAGGACTACGGAACGTGTGAGGGGTGTGCCGAGATGGGTGCCACTGGGGCATTCGGCGACGCTCCCTATGGGGACATGAAACACGCGCGGGGCGTGCCAACATGGGTGGCGGAAACGCATGTGCGGGCCGCCACTGGGGCCTCCAGTGGAGCTCCCTATGGGTCCCCGAAACATGATGCTGCTGCGGGGGGGGGGGGGGGCCGGGCCGCGCGCGGGTCACTTTACAACCAGAAGCGCACTTCACAACCAGATAGGTCACTTTACAACCAGTTTACAAAATCCGAGAAGGGCACTTTACAACCAGGAAGGGCACTTTACAACCAGGCAAGCGGGAACACATATTGAATGCACGCGGGCCTTTCCCTGAAATCTCCGTGGGCAAGCGCAAGGGTGGCTTTGGGTTATTTGAGGCATGTTGGTTGTAAAGTTGCCCATCGAGCACGAAGAAGCACTGCGCACGCGTTGGTGATGCGACGATCTGGTGCGCTATGGTATGTTGCGTGCTGGTGGGCGGATTCTGGTTTTGACCTGCTCTCTAAGCTCTGTCGGTCAGTTCTGCCATTGCTTGCTCTGCTTTTTTTTTCTGACGGATGAAGGCTACTCGCGCAGGACATACGAATACATCATGATCATGTCCAAGACTGGAGCTGCATGGCAGTGGGAAGCTGTAGTGGGAGGTGTGGTGGTAGCGGGGGCTACAATGGGAACTGCATGGTGTTGGGAAGCTGCGGTGGCAACTGTGGTGGTCGCCAGGCGGTGGTGGGAACTGTGGTGGTAGCTGGGCTGCAATGGGATCTGTGGTGGTAGCGGGGGGTCAGTCAGAATTGCGGAGGTAGCGGGGCTGCAGCGGTAAGTGTGGTGGTAGCAGGGTTGCAGTGGAAACTGCCGTCGAAGGGGAATTCGAGGCCGTTGGTGAAGACCCCGACCACTGTCTTGAACATGGCGGTGACCGCGGAGGTGGACACGCCCCCGTAGGTAGACATGGAAGTAAGGCACGACAAAAGAGAACGCGCCCAGCGGGAATGGAAACCGACCTTGCCGAAACCGCAGCCGTCGAGCCCAAACCCAGAACACGGAAAGTGCGGAACCTCGCGTGTGACCAAAGGACAGCGGCAGGCACGACAGGAGGTGGAGAAGCGCCGCCGTTCAGCTGGAGGGCCACTGCCTTCGGGAGAGAGGGAGGGGGGGAGAAAGGGAAGGAGGAGGAGAGAGGGAGGAGGAAGGGACGAGAGAGGGAGGAGGAGGAGGACGGACAGGAGGGGGGGGACGGAGAGGAAGAGGAAGGGAAGGAGGAGGAGGAGGAAAAGGAGGCGAAGGAGAAGGAGGAGGACGAGGCGTTCCTCCTGCCCCTCCTGTTTTTCCACCTCCTCTTGGTCCTGTTCCTGTTGCTTCCCCTCCTCGTCCTCCTCTCCTCCTTCCTCCCCCTCCTCCTCCTCCTCCTCCTCCTCCTCCTCCTCCTCCTCCTCCTCCTCCTCCTCCTCCTCCTCTCCTCCTCCTCCTCCTCCTCCCCTCCCCTCCTCCTCCTCCTCCTCCTCCTCCTCCTCCTCCTCCTCCTCACTCCTCCTCCTCCTCCTCCTCCTCCTCCCTCCTCCTCCTCCTCCTCCTCCTCCCCCCCTCTTCCTCCTCATCCGATCCT